TTTACTTGAAGAAATGAACAATGTTAGTGCAGTAATACCTGGAGAAATAAATTCCTCCAAGAAAATACTAATACTAGGGGACGAATATGCTACAAACTTTTCTTGTGTCTTGAGGCATTCCACTGGCAGCAAATAGTCAATAAAAGCAATAGTAAACCACGATTATGAACTTTCGCATTTAACAGATAACTTCTTTGCTGACACTTTAAACTATGGCCAATAAGATTATTTTATAATTATATTTAATACTAATAATGTTAGTAATAATAAAAACGTGTACCTTGCTCTAAAACAAATTTTACCACTATACAAAATTACGAATATTTTACTCATTTCTGAACCTCATACACAAATAGACCAAATCATTATTAGAAAGCTGTTGAAGCAAGTGTTCAACTTCAGAAAACATAATTCCAGTATCTCTTCAAGATACTTAATTGATAACTTCGAAGGAAGTAAGTTTACTGTTCTTGAAAATGTAAAACAATTTTTAATTTTTACCAGAAGCAATATTTCTTTAGAAACTATCAATACTTGTAATGTGTAATGACTACTTTGACATCTCTCAGGTATGATGCAGAAGAGAAATCTAACGTTTATTCAAATTCAAATGATTTCATTGAACCTTCTTCTTTTTTAGAGAAACACATATCTCAAATAAAAAGTCTTTAGCTTTTCGCAATATAAATAAATCCAATCTACCTCATTCGTTGAGCTTGATATTATTGAATATTCAATCGGCCAGAAATAAGTATTCTGAATTGTATATTTTATCAGAAAGGTTGCATTTTCCTGGCATCACCCTAATAACGGAACATTGGTTGAATCCAAATGAAAACATGCATCTACCAAATTACAGTGTGGTATCTTTGTTTTGCAGAAATTCACCATACGGGGGAACTATTATTTTGGTTGAGAACTCTCTGTTCAACCAACTGAATTTTGTAAATATGACAAATATTTATTGGAAGAGTTATTCGAGTTCTCCATGTGCATTTGTGATGAATTAAAATTGTTTATACTTTGCATATATAGATCACCTTCGTCTGATCCAAATTTATTACTCAGTGGACTGGAACACATTCTGCATGAAATACCAACCACTGCAAATATTATATTGACAGGAGATCTGAATATGAATTATGAAGACATTAACTCAAAAGACACAATTTCCCTAGTGAGTCTTTTAGAGAGTTACAGTTTGAAGATGCATGTTAACTCATCCACTCACATTAAGCAATATTCAAAATCAACTATTGATTATGTATGTACTAACCTGAATACTGAATCTGTGTTTTGCGAGGTATTACCCTCAGGTTTGTCAGACCACGAAGTCTTCCACTTTAATGTTGAATTGGACTACAACAATGAAAATTGTTCGAAATTTAAATATGGAAGACTGTACTGTGCTACAAATTATAATAGGTTCTACGATTTGGGCCTTTCAATAGACTGGAATCAAATTCTACTATCTCAAGATCCATTTCTAGAATACTATAGCATGTTATTGTTCACATTCAATAATAGATTTTCAATACAAAAAATTAGAATAAAAAATGATAATAAAAAAGAATGGATAACAAAGGGAATAAGGGTGTCTGCAAGAAATTTTCGTTGCTTACAATACATTAGAACAGTGTTTCTCAAAGTGTGCGCCGCGGCGTTCTGGGGTGCCGTGGAACCTTTATTGGGGCGCCGTGGGCCACGGATGAGTCTCAAGGTACGTTTTACAACATAGATAACTGAGAGTAAAGGTAATACGTCGGTACCTATTAATAAAAATCATCTGAAAATATGATAATATCGGTAATTGCAAAATGTAATCCGTTCAGGCAGCCACCTACCTACTTTTATTAATTAAACATCTAGTGTAGTCTTTACGTTCGGGGCGTCGCGATAACCTTCAAAAAACATAAGGGAGCCGTGAATTCGAAAAGTTTGAGAAACACTGCATTAGAAAGTTCACATCGTCCGCATATTTTTTAAATTATTTCACCTGCTACCGCAGAATGTATAGGAACACCATAAAACTAGCTAAAACACTATTATACAACAGAATAAACAAAGCAAGCAATAAGTCAAGAGAAACATGGAAGATAATTAATGATCTCAGGGGAAAGGGTAGAAAGCAAAAATTGGACACTCCATTATTATCCACCGATTTCAATAACTATTTCTGCATGATAGGAGAAAAATTAACTGAAAATATTCACATTTCGTATGATCCACTTGATAATTCAATTGATATAGCAGATAATTTTATTCTATATTGAAATTGAATTGAAGGGAGTCTTTAGGGAGATAAAAAATAAACACACTTCAGGAATTGACGACATCTTGAATATTTTCGAAAATCTACCAGACGATGCTTTATCAGTACTAGTTGACATAATAAATATCTCATATAGAGGAATTTTTTCAAATTTTCTCAAAATGTCTATTGTTATTCCTCTCCATAAAGGTGGAGATATTGGCATCTCTTCTAACTTCCGACCTATCTCTTTAATAACAACACTTGCAAAGATTATAGAAAAACTAGTCAAGAGAAGACTAGTTGATTTTTTCGAGAGAAACCAGATATTAAACAAATGTCAGTTTGGATTCCAGAGTAGAAAAAACACTCATGATGCCATTTTTTCATTATTGTACAGTCTCTATAATGAAATAAATGATGGAGAGATTGCAGCTGCTGTGTTCTGTGACATATCGAAAGCGTTTGACTGTGTTAGCCATGATACACTGCACACGAAATACACTGATACACGGAAAATAAAATAGTATGGTATAAGAGGTGTAAGTCTCAATTGGTTTGAATCTTATTTATCTGAGCGTAGTCAAATTATTAAAACAACTAATTATTCTGAGGAAGGAAAAATAAACTGTGGAGTTCCACAAGGCTCATTCCTAGGACCACTATTATTTCTTTTGTATATAAATGATCTATTAAAGGAGAGTTTACACTATTCGCTGACGTCACTACTATTTTATGGCATGATCAAAATCCCTCCAAACTTGAAACAGTAATAAATCATGATATTAGCAATATAAAAAGATGGTGTGACGCAAATCTTCTCAGTTTTGATATCTCTAAAATGAGCGTACTTTGCTTCAAATGTTACATCAGCAATTTACAAATTGACAACATCTTTGTTGAGAATAAACCATCAACCAAATTTCTGGTACTATCCATTGACACTGATTTGGAATTTGAAGACCATATCAAGAGTCTCAAATCAAAGTTATCCTCAGGGTCTTACGCTGTGAGGCTGACATCTTATGAGTTGGGATTTGCTGCTGCCAAAGTAACATATCACTCTCTCATAGAATTTCATCTACGATATAAAATTCCTTTTTGGGGTGCTTGTACTCTGACAACATTGCAATCAATTTTAGTTATAGAGAAAAGAGCTGTAGGTTTTCTATGTAAAGCAAAACCACGAGATTCTTGCAGACCACTGTTTAAGGAAAACAAAATCCTCATTGTAATATATATTTTTATTATTGAAACTCATAACAAAACATCAAAATCGATTTTCAATTAACACAAACGCCATAAAAGAGCTGTACGTTTTCTGTGTAAAGCAAAACCACGAGATTCTTGCAGACCATTGTTTAAGGAAAAGAAAATCCTCATTGTAATATATATTTTTATTATTGAAACTCATAACAAAACATCAAAATCGATTTTCAATTAACACAAACGCCACTCGACAAAGAAACGACTTTAATTTGACTTCCAAAATATTCCCTCATTAAAGACTCTATAATTTATCAGAGTACTATCAAGATACTTTTTGATTTGACTTGTGGCTGAGTCGTTTTATGTAATTAATATTGAATTCTTTCCAAATAAACTCTTATTGGCTATATTCGTGCAAGTGATGTATTGTGCTATGTAAATACTAATTGTTTTTGTTATTTTTTTGTTCTTTGTACATATGTTCAATAACTACCTGAAATTTTATTCAATTGTAGATAATTTCGTTGGTCAATTAAAATCCACGATGAAGTTCACACATTATGGAGACTCATCTGTAACCTTCGATCCTTTCTGGGATTTGTCACTCCCCATACCACAAAAAACTGGCCAATTTAATTTATCACAGTGCTTGGATTTCTTCACAAGAGAGGAAACTTTGGATGGACATGAAAAACCGACGTATTCAAGTTGCAAGGAAAGAAGAAAATGCACAAAGTCTCTATCGATCCATAAGTTTCCCGTATTTTAGTTATTCATTTTAAAAGATTTTTTCAAACAGAAAGATTTAGAGGCAAGTTAAATGTTGCCATCGAATTTCCTCTAGATGGATTAGACATGAACAATTATGCAGCAAAAAATGTGACTCCTTGTCGTTATAATCTAAATGCACTTTTGAATCACAGTGGATCTACCTACAGCGGACATTATACAGCATTCTGCAGACATCCTTATACTGGCACGTGGCACGAATACAATGATTCACACGTGTCACCAATTTCACCAAAATCGCTTTTGTGAGTGAAGATGCATACATCCTCTTTTATGAAAAGGATGAAACAAGTTCGCACCTTTGAGCGTTTGGAAATGTTATTTTTTTACTGTTGTTTTTGATGTTATAATGAATTAGTTATGTAAGATTTACGTTATATTCTATTAACTAAGAAATATTGGTATCAAATTGTTTATGATGGGTATAGACAATGTAGGTATAAATACTCAGATTTCAATGTAATCTTGTTAGTTTTGGAAATGGTGTTATGATCGAAACTAGTCAACCTGCTAATGTACCTATATTATTTTATAGTGTACCTATAGTTTTCGAGAACATTACTGGAATAATTATAACTTGACAAGTAGCAATAGCTACTATGTGTGAATTTGTTTCTCGAATTATTTTAACAAAGCTTTGTCAATAAGATGTTAATCTTCAGACAATAAAGCATATTTTGATTTTGACTTTGTATGATTGCATAAGTACCAGTATGCAATCATATCCATTTGCTTATTGTTTCATACTTACTGGAAGGACATTCCCAATCACGACAGTGTCCACGAATTCAGGTTTCACATTGGCGGCTGCTAGAGCTGCCTTCGAGACAATCGTTTGAAGTTCAGTGATATGAGTTCTTGCTAATTTTCCACCAAAGGTACCAAATGGTGTCCGTTTTGCACCAACAATAAAAATACCTATAAAAGTATCAGTCACTGTAATTTCTAATCATAGTATATTGACAAAAGTTACCTTTAACCAGAGAAGTCATGATTATATACTAATGTGTGCTTTTTCAAATAGGCGCACACTTCGTTACTAGTTACAAAAATGTACCAAAACTCTGTTTGGTGATAATATGAAAGATAAGCAAGTCTCAAAGTTCAAATGAACTGCGGATCGGAGGTTCGACAGAGAGATAAAGAATCTGAGTTGTTATATTTACTACTCCATGAGCGGCGCTTCTCGGGGTAACTGCTTGCAATACTGAGACAGATTAATGATATATTTTATTGGACACCTGAATGGTTTCATTAAGAACGTTTCACAGTTTATACAGTGTGTAACAACGAAAACTCAACAGAACCGTTTTTGAATATAAAAAGTAAGATTTTTAAAAAAAGCTCGAACACGTCGATTTTCAATTAAAGGGGGACACCTTTCAGACTAATCAGATTTTTTGTAGTACGCACCCCTTCGGAGAGGTGCGTCCGACGACCCTTGTTTAGATAGGGAAATTAGGTCGAGTGGCACCTTGTTTTAAAGGTATATCGAATACCTTTACAACTCTGTTAAAAGAACATTTTTGTAACGATTAGTTTTCGAGATAATTTGAAGTTAAAATTGCCATGTTGATAATACATTAGACAGACCACTCGGTAACTTGTAGGTATGACTAAATAAAAAAAAAATCGAGCAGTTCTTCTTATCAGTTTTTTGTTAAATAAAATCCCTTTTTTGAAATCAATACCCACTCCTCTTCTTCCAGTTTTCATTAGTACATCGTTCGATTGTTTTGTTTAAACGGGTCGTGTATGGTTATTTGTTTAAAAATGCCTAACACTACTGCTGAAAGGGTTTCAGTTATTGCTTTATTTTTTGGCAACGACCAAAATGCTAATAGAACATCAATTTTATTTAACGAGCAAAACCCTGGTAAACACCTAAGCAGAAATCACGTTCTGGATTTGGTCACAAAATTCAGGGAGACAGGTTCGGTTTTAAATAAGAAAAGAAATGTTCAGAGACGAGTAGTGAATGACGATAATGCGATTGGAGTGATTGGTCAAGTCATCGCCATTCCCAGGTTAAGTAGGGGAGACCTAGGAGAGTTGTGACAGCTTTGTATCTAGACTATTAGACTATTACAAAACATCATTATAAATAGAGTAAATCAAACAAACATTTTCATTTTGAAAAATAGTATGAAATCATCTTTTATAACATTAAAAAAGAACATACAACATTTCTATATTAAGTAGTTATATCTTACAAGCAATCATGCCATAATTTCGAGATCAATCATAATATAAATCAGTCAAAAATCTTATTTCAATCTGATAAAGAATTATGGCAAATGTATTGCAGCTCGACCATCCTTTGCATTCTAGGCATTGGACCCACTGCTCATTTGATCTGCTGTTTGCATAGGCTACTAGGCAAACCAAGCAAACGTAATTATTGTTTTCTGTCTCTCCTTCGTCATCACCTGTTCCTTTCTGCTTTTTAATCCTCTTGGTTTTATTAGGTTTCTTCTTTTCTGCACTTGAGATATTCCTCTTCACATTTCTCGACTTCCTATCAGCTTCTATAGCAGCTATTTCGTCTTTAGTAGGTGTGTCAGTAAGCACAGTAGATTTGATTTTGCATCTTTTCGGTTGGCTGTGTTTTCTTGGCGGAGCTTTCGGCAAGGGCCTCACTGATTCTGGTTAAAATACATTAGAAACATTGGCAAGAGGAATATGGACTGTAGACGTGGACAATAGGTTCAATGGGTTTAGTATTCAGAACTGTGATATGGGCTGTAGACGTGGAGGCAACAGGTTAATTGGTATAATTTACAACTGATGAATTTCTTGATGGCATAGTCTCATTTGTAGATGTACCTGGAATGATGGCTCTTGCTTCATCATTATCAACTGTTTCGATGTTGAGATTTGAAGTTGTGATGCTTTCCGCTGGATTGTCCACAATTTCTGAAACAGATTGCTCTAGTTCTGGGTTGGGACGATCAGTGACTTGACTTGGCAGCCAATCGGCTTCTCCAAATATGTCTGTGTTGACTGGCCACGTTCCAGTTGCAGCAAAACCAGCACTGATATTTCTTGCAGTGATTGCTACATTAAATGCAGACTTTGCAATTGATGGTATATCATATATGGTCATGACTTTGCCGGCATTGATTCGCATCCAATTATCACACGCTGTATTGATTGCCAAAAATAGCACGATCCATGGGCTATAGCTTGTGCGTACAATGTGGGGGAAATGTGAGTAAAATTATCCCATTTTCTCTACAAAACTCAATGTTTCTCAGTGATGTATGCGAAGCATGATTATCTAGAAACAACAGAACTCTGTGCTCTTTAGATGGTCTAACGTGATTTTCAAAATGTTCGAGGAAAACCTAAAAATCATCCTCTTGCATCCAACCTGATCCGTTAGCTGTTCCGATTGAACCAGTTGGGCCGTCCCTAATAAAATCCTCTTGGAATCGTTTGCGGCGGAATACAAACATGGGTGGTATATAATTACCTATTGCATTCCCAGCTAAAGCCATTGTGACCAAAGTCCCCCTTTCTGCAGATGTCATAGCACTAACCCGTTTTTCTCCTCGTAGTGCTATTATTCTATCGGGCTTCTGGACGGTAGTTATTTCGGTTTCGTCGATATTCCAAATAGCTTTTGCATCAAGTTTATGCTTACTTGAGACGCCTGGGTAGTTATCAAAGAAAATGGCCACATTTGTCTTATTGAAACTGGTAGCGCGAGCCATGCTAGTGGGTTGTGGTAATCTTAAAGATAAATTGGGACGCCGTTTCATAAATAGCTTGAGCCACACTTCTCCAGCTTTTTTATTTTGCCTCCATGTCTCGGGAATTTTTTTATTATATTTTTCGGCTAACTGATATGCGATAACTCTAGTTTCTTTCGTAGTCAGCTCATATTTAGATGCTGCACACGTTAACAAATATCCACTTTATATATTTTCTTCCTCTACTGTAAATATTGTTGGACAGTTGTAACCCATATAAGGAGCCTCACCTACTGGGTTAGCTTGATAAACCTCTTTCTTCTTAATGTATCTGGACAAAGACATGTAGTTTATATTGTAAGAAGACGCAGCATCTCTTAGACTTCTACCTCTTAACTTAACCTCTTCATAAGCCAGGTCGTAGATTTCGACACTTACATTTCCTTTATCAGTCTTTCGTGTATAGTGATTAGGCATTCTGAAATCAAAAGTGGCCATTTAGCATGTGCCATCAAAACTAAGTCAGATAGGAGAGTTGTGACAGACTGTCACAACTGTCATATTTTCTAAATACGATGGAAACACAAAAGCCCAGCCTTATGCTTTGAGACTTGAATAATCATACTACTTATGTATTAAGACATGATATAATTTCAATCAAAATTTCGAGGAAAACTTACTTTTCTTTTTTTTTGCACACAACCGCTCCTCATGCGACGCCATTGGGTACTAAGTCAAGTAATGCATCTCTAAAGCAACAAAGCTGCGTTGTTGGCAACTAGCTAACTATTGTTGGTAAGGGGAAATCGCCTTTGTCACAACTCTCTTCTGTCACAACTCTCCTAGGTCTCCCCTACCAGAGGTTTATCAGGAATAGCCGGAATAAGCCATATGAGCGCATGGAGAATCCTTAGCACCACAAATTCCATCCTTACAAAATTAAACTTGTTCATGAACTCAATGAGTATGATTTTGACCGAAGACAGGAGTTTTGTGGGGGCATGAGTGAGAGATTAATTAAATCCCGTGCTGCTTTATAGCATCTGTTTTTCGGACGAAAGCTGATTTTACTTAAATGGTTGCGTGAACCGTCACAATTGCCGTTATTAGTCGGATGAAAACCCAAGACAATTCGCAGAAATACATACCCAACATCCCCAAAAGTTGAATGTCTGGGCCGGAATATTAGGCAATCACTATATAGGTCCATTTTTCATCGATGGAAATTTAACCGGTGATTCTTTTTTACAACTTCTTGAAGAGGCAATACAACCTCGTATAGTTGAAATAATTGAACAGGATCCAAGATGTCAAGATGAATGTATCCATTTTCAACAAGACGGTGCACCACCCCATTTTGCCCAGCAGGTTCGAAATTTTTTGAATAATCATTTTGAAGGACAATGGATTGGCAGAAGAGGTCCAATTAAATTGCCAGCACGATCATCAGATTTAACACCACTGGACTACTTTCTGTGGTGATATTTAAAGTCTAAAGTTTATGCTACATAGCCAGCCAATTTGGATGAATCACGTCGTAGAATTATTGATGAATGCCGAGCTATAACTCCTGAGATGTTGAATAATGTAAGAGAAAAATTCGAACAAATACTTTAATGTTGCATGGAGCAAAATGGCGCACATTTTAAACATTTACTCTAAATCTCCTATGTGAGTTACCCTTATTAGGTGTTACTTTTTTTGTGTGTGCTTTAAAAACAATTATTGGGATTTATTAACCCTAAAACAGTTTCTTAAACTTTTCTGTGTCATCAGCATTCAAGGAAATCAGCAGGTTGTATTCGTTGTGTAGGTAAGTTTTTAGTATGATTCACTTTTTTATTAGAAGCATAAAACGGCACACCAAAAGACAACCTTCATAAGGAGATGCCACTCAATTCACCTAAAATGTAAGGGTGGTAACCAACCCCATCCCCCAAAAAAATCTCCTCGTAATAAACAAATAATTCTTACTTTTTTACGAAATCAAATGGACACGTATTAGCAGGTTGTCATAAAAAGCAAAAATATTTTTTTTATGAAACTTCTGAACGTAAATTGTACCTTAAAAACAATTTGATTTATTTTAAAAAGAGTTGAACTCAATAAAAATACCTTTTAAATCTTCAAATTATCTCGAAAACTAATTGTTACAAAAATTTTCTTTTGACAGTGATGCACCCCTCCGAGGGGGTGCATACTACAAAAAATCTGATTGGTCTGAAAGGTGTCCCTTTTAATTAGAAATCGACGTGTCCGAGCTTTTTTTAAAAATCTTACTTTTTATAACCAAAAACGGCTCTGTTAAGTTTTCGTTGTTACACACTGTATATTAAAATCCTTGAGAAATTTGCCATACTCGGTTACACCTTTCATAGTCATCTTCATTTTCATCAGGATGG